GTGCTGTGCAGCCTGCTCCGGGTGACCCTGCTTGGGCAGGGGGCTGGGCTGGGGGACCCACAGAGGGCCCTGCCAACCCCGAACATTCTGTGATTCTGTGATTCTCAGCCCTGTAAGCATCTCTGGATGGCAAAAAACTCTTCAGGCAGACACCAGTGAAGGTTTAGCGAGGTCTGCAACCCCCGCAAGCCCCGGGAGACACCAGGCAGAGCAGGACCAAAAGCCAAAGCTCCAGGTGGGATCCGCAGAGCCTCACCGTGAGTGATGGATTTGATTTCAATGGTCTTGGGGATCCGCTCTTCGGAAGTCGGCTGTACAGATTTCCGGCTGATTTTGGATTTGAAGAGGGTGTTGATTAACGTAGATTTCCCCAAGCCGCTCTGACCTGGAAAACAGCAGGATAAACCACAGTCAGCACTCACTCGTTTCTGGGCTGTTTTTTCAGGGGCCAGGGGATGGGGATGCTGACAGACTCAGCCTGCTCCAGAACTGCCGGAGGGAGGAAAGAGGTGCAGCTGTGCCCCCGCAGCCCCCCCGGCACAAGGAGCTCGAGCCCATCCCGGGCAGGAGGGTGTTGCGGGCAGCAAGCACCTTGCCTGGCTCCAAAGCAGCCAGCTTGTTGGGAGCGAGCAGGGCAAGAGCCGGTTCCTTGCACCCAGCCGAAATCACAGGAACCCTGAGGACAGGCAGATGCCGTCAGGGACGCTTTAAGGGCTGCGGTGACGCTCAGCAGTCCTGAAGAAGGGCACTGGGACCAGGGAACCCCAGGAAGGAGCATCCAAATACATCTGTGCCCTTACCCTCCTGCGGCCTCCCCTGTCCAGCTCCACAGGGAAGACTTTGGAGCAGCTTGGCGAGCCCTCAGCTGGGCAGCACTACCAGCAGCAGCAGCCCTCCAAACCTCGTACCCACTGCTGCTTCCTTTGCAATCGGACCAGCTGGCTGCAAGGTCGCTTTTAGGCAGGTCCAGGCCAGGAGCTCATCGGAGTCCCACAAACAACGTCCCAGGAAGCACATCAGATTCCACAACTTCCAAAAAAACAGCTTTCACAGGGAAGTCTTTTTATGCTTTATATCCCAGAGCCGAGTCCATCCATGCAGAAAGGACACCAGCAGCTCTCAGCTCTCCAGACCAGCTGTCCCACGAGCTCGGAGAATAATTATTCCAGAGCAAAGCAAACAGAGGAACTCCTCAAAACACAGGGAGCTTCAGAGCAGCTGTCCCATGCCCCATGCAATCACCGCCGAGCTCCTGGACACTGCGGGGCCCATTCGGCCCCGTCCCGCTGAGCCACACCGCAGCCAGCTACTGTGGCACCACTGCCGCAACGTCCCTGGCACCGCCGTGTGTCTCTAAGCATGAAGCCACCAAGGGTTTCACCGATGTCTTCCAGGGCCCTGATCCATCCAGGCTACCAAAGGCACCCAAAGCTAAGCCAACAGTAGGGTCACCCAGCACATCAGCACTGGGCATCACCCCCCGGTCAGCCTGCTCCCTGCACCCTGCTCCAACAGCAATTTAGCGCTGAGTTTGCAATGCTGCAACCCAGTGCAGGAAAACCCTGTTCACCAGCCACCGTCACAGCGGGGCTGTAGGAGCAGCACGTGGACCACGCTGGGGTCTGGTGCTCCTGGTCTGAACATGAGGAAGAACTTCTTCCCTCTGAGGGTGACGGAGCACTGGAACAGGCTGCCCAGGGAGGTTGTGGAGTCTCCTTCTCTGGAGATATTCAAGACCCGCCTGGACAAGATCCTGTGCAGCCTACTGTAGGTGACCCTGCTTCGGCAGGGGGGTTGGACTAGATGACCCACAGAGGTCACTTCCAACGCCTACTATTCTGTGATTCTGTGAGTCTGTGGTCCTCTGCTGCCTGAAAACACGCGGGGCCAAGCGCAGACAGGTCTGGAGCTGTGAATGCAGGGACCCAAAGCGAAGCTCTCCTCGCACTGCCCATCCTTACAGGGAGCGCGTGGGGAGAGGGGGAAAGCGGGCGACACGCTGCCAGAGCTCCTGGCAGCCGTGCCTGTCCGAGCCGCCGGAGCCAGGCTGCCTGGAAAGGGACCAGAGGCGAGGGACGCGACGCC